CCAGAAGAATGAGAAGTTATACCCCATTTATGTATGATGTGTCAAAGTGCATTATACTGTCATTTGTAACTAATTAGAACAAATTTTTAAAAATTGAAAAAAAAGTCACTTTGATATTAATAGAGCCAATGCAACTTTCTTTGGATTTCTGCTAGTAGAGTATATATTTTCCACTCTTCCCCCAACTTATAATTTTTATTGGTTAAGAAAATTTCTTTCTATTACTTGTTGGCAAAAAAAAATATTAATTTTGGATGCTGAATTTTGTCAAATGCATCTTTTTATATGATCATATGTGGGTATTCTTTGTAATACTAATAAATTGTAATCATTGCTTCTTTTTTTGGGGGGGAGGGTTCTGGGGATTGAACTCAGGGGCACTCAACCACTGAGCCATATCCCCAGCCCTATTTTTTATTTTATTTAGAGACAGCATCTCACTGAGTTGCTTAGTACCTTGCTTTTGCTGGGGCTGGCCGTGAACTCTCAATCCTCTTGCCTCAACCTCCCAAGTTGCTGGAATTACAGGCATGCACCACTGTGCCCAGCTATCTTTTCTTCTTTTTTATTATTTATTTATTCTACTTTGTTATACACAATGGCAGAATGAAATTCATTTCATATTATGCACATAGATCACAATGTTTCAAGTCATTGATTGTACACAAAGTATTTTCACACCATTTGTGTCTTCATACATGTACTTAGGGTAATGATGAATAACTCATTCCACCATCATTCCTACCCCCCTTTTGTGCTTTTATATATAAAGAGAGTTTCTTGTTGGCAACATATAATGAGTTCTTGCATTTTTAACCAGTCTGATGATCCCTGCCTTTTAATTGGGATGTTTAGATCATTTATACTTAATTTAATTTAATTGCCTATGTGCAGAATTTCAGTTTGCCATCTTCCTGTTTATCTCCTAATTGTGCTTTCTATTCTTTATTTCCTTTCCCATATTTACTTCTTTGTTTAGATTAATTGAGAATTTTTATGATTCGTTTTATCTCTATTACTGGTAAGAAATTAAGAGATAGAAATAAAAGTGAATGCGGTGTTTTGGAAGCCAACTGAAGAGAATGTTTCAATAGGAGTGAAATCATAAATAGAAACATAAAAGTGAGCACAGGATTTGATATTGTGAAGGTAAATCTGGGGACCATAACAGGAACAACCTCAGTGAAGTGATGGGATTATAAATTCGATCTAAATGGAATGGGAAGAGAAGAAAAGTAGAGACAGATACTATGGACAACTCAAGAAGTCTTGCTGAATAATGGAAGCAAGAGAATATGATGGTAATTCAAAAAGATCATAGCATCAATAGAGATTATTCTCAAAGAAGGGAGATATTATATAACCTGTGTGAATCCTTAGATAATGAGTCTATAAAGAGAAAGAGGTGGACAGGTGTACTTTAGAGGAGAGAGGAAACACAGCCCTTATGAAATGAAGAGCGGGAGGGTTTCAGACCACCAGTGGAGAGACCTAAGTTTGGTAGGAAAAAAGGTCCTATTGGCCACTTGTCAAAGGAGAAGCAGCAAATTTATGGGACAGATTTCAGGTTGGCTGGTAATTTTTTGATGGGAAGAGAAGGGAGTTCTTGTATTCTCAAAAATGGACGAGCGGAGATCAGCAGAGAGCGTGTGTATATGGAAAGCACTATAGCAAAACATCAAATAGGGCACAGTGTCTGGGCATGGAGATGAGTTCACAGAGAGGGATCAGAGAAGTCTTTATCATTTAATCTGGGTCTTGTTGGAAATGAAATTTAAGTAAGTACGTGTTCATTCACTGGCAAAGATTTCTGCAGAGATTATGGC